TGTTGTTTTTAAGAGATCCCTCCTTTCACATTCATTAGTGACAATGCTGTCTTCAAGGTCTGAAAGTCTATCTTCAGCTTCATTCAGGTGGTTTTGCAAGCTTTCAATGGAATTTTTAAGTTCCTGGATATCTGTTTGCATCTGTTTCATACCTTCTAGTTCTTTTCTGTATTGTTCCCTGAAGGTTTCATTGAGTTTGTCTATGCTCTTCTATTTCCTTGTCTATGTCGTCTTTGTATATATTGAACATTTCTTTCATTATTGTTGTCATTTCTTTTCTCACTTGAGACATTATTTCTGATCTGATGTCTTCTATGGCCTGATGGAGTTGTTTCTTTACTTAAGTTGCTATCATTTCAGAAATTTCAGGTGTATGACTTTCAGGCTCTTCTGTGTTGATGCCTCCTGGACTTGTTTTGGGTGGTGTGAAGGTCTGGGGTTGCATTTTGCTCCTTCGTTTTGTCATTTTTGAAGAACCAGAGACTCCCTGTAGTGCAGTCTCCCTGTCCTGAATGTTTGTGAATGGCAGGGCAAGAGCCTGAAGATCCCGAGTGCTCAATGTAGCTCCTGTACTGGTGAGTGGTGGCAGCCCAGCCCACGCCAACACACTGCCAGGTAGCCATCAAGGCCCCAGAGGGTGGCTGAGGTTTCACCTGCCTTGCACGCTGGTGAGGGAGGCAGAGCCCAGACTCACCGGGCTTCCCGAAGATGTCCGCAGTTCAGCGCAGCCTGGGTGACACACTATGGGTCAATGGTACAAGTTAGAACTTAATGAAATTTGAAAAAATCTGTGAAAAGAGAGAAAAAAACTTCAAAATTTCTTTATTGCTTACAAAGAAAGATGAAAATAAATGAAGTAAAAAGAAAATAAATGAAGTAAGCACTTAATTAAATAAATTTGAAGGAGAAAATAAAGCATAAATTAAAAAATAAATAAAGGGAAGCATTCATATGCTAAGCTGTGAATCAGTGGATTAGGAATGTAAGGTAACAAGAACCCAGAAAACACAAAATTGTGATTGAGGCTATAATTGTGCTTAATCATGGAATAATTTTTAGAAAAATATTAATTGCCAGAGTTAATGCAAACAAGGCAGAAGATGGCAACAGATCAACACTTACACTGTAAAAGAAACAGAAAAGATATTTACTATTATACTTTGCTCCCAACGCTCATTCAAATGTGTCAGGACTATATGGCTTTGCACGTGATACTCATCAAACTTTAAAGGAAGATGATTTTTCTTACTTAAAACTCTCCAGGATACAACAATATCTGCTTTACCAGAGCTCCAGGGGGATTTTAGTTTTTTAACATGACCAAGTGATTCTACTTTTATCAGGAAGAATAAGTGAAAACAAGAAACTGTTGAGCAATACAGAACTGGAGTTCACTTTGGCATTAATAAAAATATACTGCAATATGATAACTTACAATTGAGTCTATGTGAAAAAGGGCCAAGATGTTTAGAAGATGATCATTATGGCATTTCAAATCATTAGATAAAAGATGAATTATTTAATAAATCTTGTTTGATACAAGCAGCATTCCTCAGGTATTAGGAAGATAATACAGCAGTCCCCACCATTACCTTTCTATCCAGAGGGAATATGTGACACACTTCCAGTAGATGCCTGAATCTATTGATAATACCGAATAGTACACATTGTGTATGTGTTTTCCCATATGCCCTGCAGCTTTGCTATCTAGTCAGAGTTAGTAGGTTCTTCTACATTTCATACCTTGTTGCCTCTTTTGCCCCACTGCTTTTGTATTTGGGGCACTATTATTAAATAAAAGAGGAGTTACTTGAGCACAAGCACTGTGACACACTGTGATCACAGACCTAATAGCCAAATTAATTACTAAGAGACTAATAGGTGAGTTCTATATACAGGGTAAAAGCACTGGGCAAAGGAATGACTCATATCATAGGCAGGATGCAGTAGGATGGTGTAACATTTCATCACACTACTCAAAATAGTACCTGGTTTAAAACTAATTGTTTCTGAAATTTTCTGTTTAATATTTGTGGATCATGGTTGGAAGCAGGTGACTGAAACTTAGGAAAGTGCAGTTGTGGATAAGAAGGATAATTATATATTCTGATTTTATGCTAAATGTAATTACTTTATAAAAACAACCATCATTGAGAGAAGTTATTGGATTCTTTAGGACAAGATGTGAAGAGGAAAGACTGGATATTTAATACCATTTCATGCATGCCACTGTAATTATTTATGATAATATCCTCAGTCACTGAAAGGATTTGATAGATGTCTTCCTACAGCACTGTAATTACTGATAGTAATAAATTTACACAGTATTTATTGTGTACATGGTACATCAGTTTACCATAACAACACCTATGAAGAAGGCACTGTTACTGCTCTAGACACGAGGAACCCGCAGTGTGGAGCAGCCAGCGATTCTATTTCTAGGGAGCAGGAGAGCTGGAAACGCACCCAGAAGTCTGGTACCAGAGTGCGCACTGCCTTTCCTTGGAGCTTGAAGCCAGCTCTCTAGAGACATCAGGGGGAAGGCTTCGTTCTTCAGGTTCTAACCCGCCTCTCTTCTTTCTCAGGGACCTGATGCCGAGGACGCTGGAGGGGCAGATCACCATGGAGAAGACGCCCAGCTACTTCGTCACGCGGGAGGCGCCCGCGCGCATCTCGGCCATGTCCAAGGACACCAAGCTCATCGTGGTGGTGCGGGACCCGGTGACCAGGGCCATCTC